TAAAGTCATTGGCGGGCCGCACATATTTTTAGGAAGTTAAAAATCGAGTGGATGACCGATGAATCACATTTAATCACACAGATCAGAAGTTAAATTTCAAGCAGCGCGCAAAGACTGACCATTTTAATATTTTTTGCGTCATTAAACCATTTGCACTTAGCATCAACTTTTCTGCGTTTTGTTGTTTGTCTAAATTATAATTAAATTATAAGCTCATTAAACGAGTAATTGTGAATTATATACTTGTTACGTTATATTATAATTTAGTCTACACGTAAATTCTTTTGCCTAAAGAATATAATCGACAAAACAGCTATAATTTGTTACTATAATTCAGTGAAGCGTCGCGGGACGGATTATATTGCTCCGCGGCCGTAGGTTGCCGACCCCTGTCTTAAACCCTTGAGGTTTAAAGCAATGGAGGTAAATGTTGCTGAAAAGGTACTCTCGAAGTATGTGAACCAATATAGCGAACACCGGAACATAGTATGTTACCAGGTTAGGGTTAGGCCATAATTTTATTCCAATTTTCCTTAATTTAGTCATATTTCGAATTCGGAGACTGGCCAAGTGACACCTGTAATATTTGTACCTGAAATTATTGCCTAACCCTAACCTGGTACACATACTACGTTCCGCCATCTTGGTTCAAATACTACACGACTACCAAAAAAACAACTAAAATATCGATGTCACTCTAATCTAGTGGTTTCCAACAGCCGTGTCGTAGCACATTAGTATGCCGCAAAGAGATTTCATTTGTGAATTCATTCCAAGTGATTACAATTAATTTCCAATAGACAGACGAGAGTTAGCATATCGACCCCAGACGCGCATTTCAATTTAAAACTCGGAAAGAAGACGAGAATAAACTAAGCTGCTCAGCTATTTAGTCATATTGTAAATATAAGTCAAGCACTAAAATCGCTTTGGCTTTGGCGATTTAGTTTACCAACCAAAAACACCGCGCCGTGTATCGTTAAGTAACAACAAGAGAGCTACGCACAAATATATGGACACGTTAGACCAGAGCGAATCAGTCCTTACCGGTACCTTTGACGCTACCGGTACCCTCAAAAAAGTTCTGAATTTCCAGTAGCAAGAATTTTGCAGAATCAAAACGTACAGCCAGTCATGACACTGACTAAAATCCGTGTTCAATCAATCAATCAATTTTATTCGGTCACTCTGATACAACCGATGAACCCATGACCCATGAATAAAAAATAATACAGCAAAATTTTAGACGAAATATCAAATTTCATAGAATTCACGCAAAATTTTGAAATAAATAAAAGTAATGGCCTTCTAGCGAAAAAATCAATCTTTAACCACTGAAAATTTCAAAGCAATTGGTCCAGTATTCGAAGAGAAAAGCGACTTTTAAAAAACGTGTCAAAGAACAAGAACAACAACAACAACAACATAATATTGAAACGATCGTTATGTCCATTTCGTGTCCAATAACCTTTCGAAGTCATTCTCTTAAGTATTAGCATTATTTCTCGCATATCAAGTATTCTAGCTAGACCGCTTTGCTTGGGCACGGAACTCGTGTGTCGCTAAACCGATCCCCTGAATCCCGCGAGAATTACCCCGCGGCTTTTTTTAACAAACAGATACGATAAATTTGAGGAGTATTGTTTCAATTTTTAGTTTTACATATAGCGCACCAGCACCGTTTCGTAAAATTAAAAATGTCAAATAAGGTAACAAATTATTGTGCGAAATTTTCCCCAAATTTCACCAATGAATTATTATTTGGCTGGGGCGGCAGAAATGATAATATTATTAACTTTAAATTAGCAAAATTATTTTACAAACGGTGACGAGAAAGATTAAAGCCGAAACGAGAGATAAAAATCTGAATAAAATCTCGAATTCACTCCTAATAGCGCGCCTATCTGAATAAAATACTCGAATAAAAAATCTGAATAAAATCTCGAATTCACTCCTAATAGCGCGCCTATAATTAACATATGTCGCCGATATGAACGCGTAGTTCTCCCAGGAATATAAAGACAAACTTCGACGTTCGTACTAAAGGGTAAAGGCATAAAGTGGAACGGCGAGCTAAACCGAAGCGCGTGTTGGCGGTGCGAATGAAGACCACGTATTACCCGTGCGGCTGTGTATCTTAACGTAACAATAATGTGAGGCGATCCCAAGGCACTCTCGTGCAACGTTCCCTCTAAGCTGCGCGGCCGGGCAGCTGGCCGAAAATCTCCGCGCAGTGCTTTCGTTCTGCCGCGCACTGCATAAGTATTAAAATGTTGTGTTCTTTTCTAGTTTTCCGCGCAGAACTTTTTTTTTTTGAGCTCACATGGACTTCGATTCCGCGCAACTAAGCAAGCTCTTAGACTGAGGGAGCGTTGCTCTCGTGTACCTTATTATTGTAGGAAAACAGTTTGCTTTACGAGTAGAAAAAGTTCATGTTTTCGTGATAGGTGTGCCGCGAATATTTAAAGAACTCAATAGGTGTGCCGCGATATAAAAAAGGTTGGGAATAGTTGATAAACAAAATGGATCATTGAATTAGACCTGAGAACAATCATGTATAGTGACTTTTGGTCGTCTTCCGGCGCCTCAGATTCGAAAACATTTCGCCCCCCCAAATCCTGTGTTATTTCCCCCCAGTAGACAATAATCAGAATTTTTTATTCACATTTTTTAACAGTCGAATCTTAGTTTTATCCCTCCTTAAAGTGCCAACTCGAATAAAATTCAAATCCTGTGTTACTTTCCCTAGTAGACGAAAAACAGGCTTGATTTACATTTGCAACAGTTATATGTTATAAGCTTATGCATATGGCCACGTTCCGAGTGAAAAGTGCCAATTAACCTTGCATAAATAAAACTTATCCTGTTACACTTCCCCAGTAGACAAAAAACAGACTTTCTTACATTTTCAACAGTCAAATCTCAGGTATATTCACCATACAACACAATACACATTGGATTAGTAAACATTGGAATCATAAAACACATCCTTGCTTTGGTGGGAATGTCTGAATAAGCCTTAGCGAGAGAGTTATTGGTTGTAGTGAATATTTGGTACAAAAGGTGGATTTTACAAGAATTTCTTAAAGTTCGGCAAAAAAAATTGAAAGGTTATAAGTTCTGGGTTAGGTTTTACCTAATAATTTACCCAAGACTTGATTCAAATCTGAATTCTGTAAAGTCCCAAAGCAAATTCTGTGAGAAACAAAGATTTCAATAATATAGATATACCTAAAGTTTGACATTGTAGCCAAAAAGTCATGCATTGAGTTTTAAAATCGTAGCAGAGATTCGACGGATAATCACAATTTGGTGGAAATGGCCAAATGTAGGTTTAAGTTTAGTCAAACTTGTGGCATAGACTTAAATCACAATTTGGTTTAAATTTAAGATAAGACAGTGTTCCGAATTGAAACTTGCTTGTAGGCAGCATTTAAAAATGTGCCAAATTTGGAATTTGAAAAAACTTAAATAATGATTGAAATGAATTCAATTAGGTTCTTTAGAAAATTGTTTGATATTCATTTGCAGAGAATAGAATACGCATTTTCAGACCCTGATTAAAATCTGACTTTTTTCGTTTTCAAAACGATTACGATTAATGTTGAATCTATGAAATTAAAATTTATTTTCGAGGTAAATCAACTGCTTCACTCTGACCATGCAGTTAGTATATTGGGAAAATTGATTCGTTTTGAATATTTTTTTTAAATTATTTGCAGAATTTTAGAATTCGTAACAATTTAGACATGGGCAATCAGACATTTCCACCAATGCTTTCATTTCATAAAACATCTCAAAACATAAAACGACCAATCAAAACATACAAAATATTCAAAAACAGTCACATGAGGGCAGCATTCATTCACTTTGAATCATCTAAATAAAGAGGGAGAAGTCCAGTATTTGAAAATTTACACTAAAATTGCAATCAATGGAAAATAGTAACATCACAATACTTCAACTGTATACCAGACACTTCAAAAACACAATACACATGTAATGTTCATAGCATTAGCTTTTTCTGATTGAAAATTTAACTAAAAATGGAAATTCTGGAGAAACTTGCAGATAATGAATAACAGTTTCGAGTCACACACAGTCTAGTTGGAACATTTGCGAACAAATTCCTCACAGCATCAAAATATGAACTTTCAAAATGGCACTGGCAAATCAGACAGCAAACTAATATATACAGAGAATAACAAATAGATGTACAAACTAGAGCCATTTTTATACCTCATTAGGGATGGGATATTCATTATTTATCATAAAAGGGGAGGAAAGGTGATAAGGCAGCTTTCTTTGTCTTATATCAAACTATAGGCTTTTGTTCTATTGCCAGGTAGAATACAATGACTTTCGAATTGATCAACTTGTTGAGAGTCGAATAAGCATAAAGGTTGTTACAACAAAAAGAGAGAAAACTAATGGCACATAAATTGCGACAAATTTCAAATCTTAGAGACACAAATCTTAGAGACAGCTAGGATAGTGCATTTAAACCAATTTTGGGATCTGTGAAACCAGTCAGATTTCCACATCACCCCAGGAAAGAGAAAGCTACAAAAAGGTCTTATCACAGCCTCTTCTAGATCGGATACGAGAATGGATAACCAGTGTATTGCTTCATAAGCATGGACTTTAGCCTAAAGATATTGTTCACTGAAAAAGGATATCAGTTATAACTGGATCAGTTAGCAGGTGACACACAGTTTAGATGGAACATTTGTACACAAAGCAATGGAAACGTCACGTCATGAAATATATGAACTTTCAAAAAGGCAGTGAGCCAGTGACAAATCAGAGATTGAAGGAAAACCAATATATACAAAGAATAATCATATAATTTGAAGCCTAGAATTATGACTTTACAATGGCATAAGAAAAGCACCACACTTCAGTACATTTGTAAAGGGCAAACCAATATATACAAAGGACTAGTCGTAAAGTTTGTGATTTGTCTTGAAAAGTGTAAAATCAAGGGTTTTGACCAATGGGGTATAGGACAAAAACATGCATTGTTAGTTTAATTTTATCAGCTAGAAAGGCATTATTAGCACAAAATCTTGGGAAGCTTTAACAGATCGATTACTTGCATATCTGGTTGGTTATGACTTTGGTATTCTCATACAGAAAAAAGAAGAATGAAGTTATTTTAAAAAATGCCAAATAAACTTGCCAAAAGCTGACATGCAGAATAAAAAATTAAAATTTCATAAGTTGGATGAGAATAACGGGCACATAATTTGTTTCTAAGCTTTAACAGAGATATTAAATCATTACGACTCATTTTCATATTGAAATAAAGTTGATTAATTTTTATCAATGAAAGAAAGACTTGGCAAAAGCCTGTTTTAATAGTCTGATAAGCAAGGAAAAAGTTCCAACAGGGAATGGCAGAAAAATGCTAAATCTGATAGTTTATATACATCAAGATCTAGAATGTTAATAAGAATGAAAAGGGTGATGACAGATAGTCCAATACTCAACTGCTAATAGTACAATTAGAAATTACAACCCTGGTTAAAGAATTTTTGAACTAACACACAGTAATTCTTGTCACACATAGAGGAGTTTGAATTAGTAAATGCAGAAAAGTTTGAGCAGCGATTTGATTGGTTGCTGAATTTTATAATTTTCAGAAATGAAGGTTTTTACACTGGGAGACTCAAAAATGATCAATGATCAAAGTGTCGGAATTGTAATATTACATCCTGTATCACTTCCTGGGTCAAATTGTCAAATTCAGGTTTGTATCAACAGCAAAAAGTCATTTTATCACTCATCAAAAAAATTTCAGAAAGTCTGCTTTTATAAAGTGTACTGAGTAGTAGCTGGTTGTGCTGTAAACTGGAATTCACCGTTCACCGCTCCTGGTGCGAGTTCTTCATGCTCCTGGTCTTCTTCGGCGAAGAATCGGTCAATGATATGTAACGCCATCGAGTAGACGGTTTCGTTCTCATGCTGTTGTAATTTTTCGATCTTGTCGATGCCTTCGCACTCTTCGATAACGTCACAAAGCTCATCTCGTTTGTTCATTTTTTCAGCGGTTATGAGCAGATTCGAAATTCCGTCGAGACAAACGTGGAGTATTTTTGTCTCTTTGGAAGCCAGCATTCCGCAGAGACCTGGAACGGCTCCAAGATTCATCAAATAGTAAAGTTGTTCCAAGGACGCACCAGACGTAAAGTTTGTGACGGTCCAGCAAGCTTCTTTTTGAGTTTTGTAATCACCGTGTGAGAGCAACTCAACGATTCGTGGCATAACGTTTGCGTCAATCACTGCTTGAATTTGGATTTGAGTACCAGCTGTGATGTTGCTCAATGTCCAAGCAGCCTCCTTCTGTATTGTCTGCTTTTCGTGGTGCAAAAGCTGTGAAAAGACTCGAAGCACTCCCAAGTCTATAACAAGTTGGGTTTGTTGGTCAGTGCCTGTGACGATGTTTCCGAGGGTTCGCAGGACTGGTGTGATGACAAGAACATCTTGAATACTTGATAGGATATGCACGAGTGTCTCGACAACGCCGGTCTTAATGACGAGTTCGATTCGTTCGTTTGGTCCGTCCGTGATGTAGCTGAGTGCCCAGCAAGCGTCTGTTCGAACTTGCTTATCGACGCAATTAACAAGCTTGACGATCGTCGGTAGAAGTTGAACGACATACGGAAGTGAAGTGTGTGGATTTTTGTTTCGACAAAGATTTGAAATCGTCCACGTGAGATTTTGTAAAAAGGAAACTTGTGCATCGTCTTTCACGAGAGCGATGAGTGGTTTTACAATTCCTTTATCAAGAAGATAGTCACGCATCGGCGCTCCGTCACCAGCGATATTGCCAAGCGCCCAAACTGCTTGTTCAACGACATTCATGGCAGAATGAGAAAGCATTTCAATGAGGTTTGGGACGGCACCTCCATGGACTACAGCACAAGTTTGCTCACTATTTCCCGATGCAATGTTTGTCAGGGCCCAGGCAGCTTCAAATTGCATCTGTGGATTGTCATCCCATTTCAGGAATGTTACAAGCTTCGGAATAATGTTAGCTTCTATCATTTTGTTAATAGGTGGATGCCGCTCACGAGACAAAATTTTTCTGGCATTTTGGGTGCAAAGAAACTGTTTCTCTTTGTCAGAATCACAGAAAATGCCTTGCACAATTTCCTCAAAATTCATGGATATTCCGGTCGATGTAGAATATTCACTGTTGATCTCTTTCAGTGGGCTTGTGTTCAAGTCTTCCAGAACGATATTTCGACGCTTCAGAAGTTGTTCAGCGCGATGATGTTTTCGAATTTGGACCGCCCCTTCTCTTCGCTTATTTTTCAGATGATCCATCGTTTTCCCGGTGTTTTTATAACTACGTAAAGATGCACTCGACGACATTTTTGCTGATAAGTTTTCTCCAATGAAACTCGAAAAATAATAATAATATAGCTTTGAAAAACGTCCGCACAGCACAAACAAATCAACCAAAATGAATCGAAATCACCGCGTTTCCTCGCTGGCAAATATCAACCAATCAGAAGACTTAAAGAAATTGACGTCATACATCAGTGTTGGCCGGAGTTGAGAATTGGATATCCTGAAATACACAACTTCTGTCATTGCTTGTTTTCTTTTATAATTTTTATTAATTTTATAAATTTATATAGGACGTGTGAAAGATTTATTTTAATCAGAAAGAAAATGACTGTACAACTGAATATAAGAACGAACATAATTTATTTTGGTATTGATTAGAGCAGGAATGGCGAACCTTTTTTTACCAAATGGGTCAAAAATTATATGAAAATAGGGCTGTGGTCGTAGGTCATATATACTTAATCGCTGTTCGCGTCATTAAAAAACTTGCTTTCTTTTCCGCAAGTTTATAAACCTCAGTTGGTATTGTGTACTTTTGAGCTTTGCACACTCACACCAAAACTGAGGCGATTTTACAAAAATTATGTGCACTGATTCTTATCAATATATATTACCAAAACATTTACTATATTATGGCTAATGATTTCATGGTTTCAAGACACTAAGAGAATTATTACCACTGTTATTTGAGATTTTTTAAGTCGCTAATTTAAGCTCATAAATTTTATTTTAAAAAGCAATTCATGCGGAAAACATAAACTGATAACATCTTGGTTTTCGTATGCCCGCCCAGATATTCTGATGCACTTCCGGTGTATGCACACTCGTATAAAGTCACTGTAGCAGGACATTCAAAGGGAGACGCTGTAGCAAAACCAGAACCAGAATTAGTTTTCGGTCTCCTTTCACCATAAAATTCATTTTTTGAGAATCAGTGGGCTAGACCGATAGATAAAAGCTGTCACTGATCTCTAACAATGTCTTGAGAAATCTCTCATACTTACTTCGCTGTCGAAGTTATCCAAGGTATACAAGCGCGCATTTTCATCTATCTCGGTTGGTTTATTTGGCAAAAAGATTATTGATAGCAAGCCGGAAGTTTTTAGTGAATTGTTTAAACATAATCGTTACGTAGCATTGTGTTTTTCGTCCTTCCGGCGCGGCGGTGTGGCTCAACGGGCTAAGCGTTAGGAATACGCTCGCCACCGCACCTCTAACTACTCTGCGTGGGTTCGCAGGTTCGAATCCCATGCAGGGATGGTTATGTGCGAGAGGATTGCTGGACTCCTCGCCGTCGTTGGGTGGTTCACGTAACCGCTGGTCGGTTACGGCTTCCTCCACCACCAAGTCCATGCTTCCAAAAACAAACAATGCAGTAAATCTAATCCCATACCCGACTTGGAATGGTAACCGGACGAGAGGCCGTGGTTCGCCATATGGATAAGCCGTCTTATCGGCTTTCCTCTCCCCCGGGATAAATATGTAAATCCTATCCTATCGTATCCTTATTCTGATAAATTTATTGTGGGACGAATTAATCAACTTCTCGACGGGATCCATATCTACAAATTTTGTGAACTCCATAACTCTAACATCAAGAACGTTCGCTGACTATTCCAACATTGCAAGAACGACTTCAAGCAAAACACTTGGATTTCACCGACAATCATGCAGTGGCGTAACTACCCATTGGATCTCGTGGTTAAATCCATGGGCGCACGTTGCTGGTAGGCGGCAAAATGCGGCAAAACGTTTCAAATGAACAAAGGCAGTCACATTAATTTATTCCCAGAGAGACTCGGACTTAAAGGACCTAATTTAACACCAAAACTAAAAAATTGTGACTCATTATGGGGTATCTGTGACGGCATAATGATGCTCGTGCTGTCGAAGTCATAATAGAATGTCGGTTGTAACTTGCTATTGCATTGCATTGTTCGGTCAATTTAGCTTTGGTAGCTAAGTTTATATTAGTTTTCAGTATATTTTACTTTCTCGAGAAGACAGGAAGGGACCGTGAGGTCATCGAGTCCGTACTGGAGTGCAACGCGGAATAAAATATTTTAATTCTTAGGCCTTGTTAACTTAACCTTGCAGGAGTTCAGTGGGATCTTCAGAAGTTTCTGAAACCTTTTTTGCTGTTGTTGAAAATATTTATTCCTTTTTTCTGCTTCTACTTAAGTACCGGTATGTGTCAAATGTGGTAAAACGAGTGATTGACACACGATGGAGTGCGCATTACGAAGCTGTGAAAGCGCTTCAGCAATATTTCATCGAAGTGGTGGGTGCATTAAACAAACTTTGTGATCAAAATGAAAACATTGATACACGAGGACAAGCGCGTGGAATCTTGGATGCGAATCAGCGTTTTTCCTTCGTTTTTTTTTACAATTTTGGTTGGAAGTCCTAAGATAATCTCATGACACTCAAAAATATTTAAAGCGAAAAGGTCTGTCTGTAGAAAAATGTACCCACAAGATTTTATAGAAGCATTCATAGAAATATCGATTGAAGAGAGGCGGGTCAGAAAGGATGCCTGGCGAATATGCAAAAGACGTAGGTCTCTCGGTTGTTAAAGAAATCAAGAGATGCATGTTAGAAGCTATGAACCGGTTTCGGAGTTAAGCGGAAAAGCGTTTCAGCGTTATGTGTTTGCTAAATGGAGTATTCGGCTTTCTAAATTCCCACTCCTTGTTGCGAAGTGACGGTATCGAAATAGAAATGGACAAATTTGAGAAAATGTATGCTGATGACGTAAATTTTACCGAGTTAAGACTAGAAATCTCTAGGTTTAATCGACTAGTACAATCAAATAGTTTTACATTGAAAAATGACGCTACAGCGCTGGACGTTCTGCAGTGGTTAAGCAAACATCGTTTATGTGAATCAAGCCCTTATTTATTTATGAGGTTGAGCTTTACCTGTTGCCGTTTCTATCGTAAGCTGCGGAAGAAGTTTTTTAAAACTTAAGTTGATAAAATCTTACTTGAGATCAATTATGGGAGAAAGCGTCGGTATAAATTTAGAACATATGTATGTTCTGTTAGTATACAAACAGGAGCTTTGGTAACCCCCGCGTTTCAACGAGGGTTCCGACAGTGCAGTCTAGAATTTCTGCAAATTTCAATTCAAATACTAGAGTCTTTATATATATTTTAATATACGTACATGTTTAATTACGATGAAATTAATTATAATAATGGCAAACCTATTAGCTATACATAAATAATATAAACTCTCGGATTTAATTGGAAAGTTGCGAAACCCCTGGACTGTAGTGGTGCAACCCCGAGTTTATATTCAAATCCTACAGTCTATATCAGCGTTTCCCAACCTTTTTTGGTCGCGGACTATTTTCTTACCGGCGAAAACCTTTGCGGACTCAAGGTGCGTTTATTGCAACCGTATACTCTGTGCGAATGAGCAATTAAAGCAATTACGTGCTCGTTTAAAGAGCCGACTTTTTTAGTGTATAATGGTCGTTTCCGTCGCACAATATTCAATCCATGACAACGACGAGAATTTAAAATATCTTTCTATTTTAATTTAATTGTGTTCATGGTAACTCACGGTTGCGTCGACTTACGACAAGATGAAAGCATTACTTCTTTAAAATGCCACGGCAATCTGCGAACATAATAATGTAAGAATAATATTGCCCGATTATATTTAGTTTTGATACATGTTTTTTTCGATCTTGCGAATTTGTTATCGCCGTTAGAAAAATCCTATTATCTGCTATAAAGTCCACTTGAAAGTACAACTTGATTTAGCACTTATTAAAAATATATTTAAAGTATATTAGTAAATCAAAAATACAAATTCATCGCCTTGCTTCACTAATAATTTAATTGTGATGATTTTAATCTGCAATTGTGTTGACGAAATAAAAGCAAAGCGTGGTAGTGACCGATTATATTTTGTTTCGTATTTTTGTGAATTCGACAAATCTGAGCTTGTAGTACAACACTTATGGCGCTCCAGTACTGTACGTACCAATGTGGAGGCAGTAAAGCGAGGAATCATAAGGAAAAATGCCCTGGTACGTATACTACGGTAACACCAGTAGTGGGATTCAGCCGGTTCGCAGCGGTTCTATAAAACCGTCTCACGGAATTTTATGAGATCAGCGAACCGGTTAGCTTTACTAACAAACAAAAAAACATGTAACAGAACCGGCCGAAAAATATGACTTTTTTGATGGAACCGGCTAACGAAAAATTTGAATCCCCACCACTGGGCAGCACCCGAAATTTTGCGATTTGCAATGTCTAAAAAGCGTTTTTAATCGGTCGTGGACCATCATAAAACAAAACTTATGGTGTTCTCTGTTTTATTTCTTGTATTTTGTATTGCCGCTTTTCACTTTAGAAAATTTGAATTGACACCTACCCGAATAAAAATTTATTCCTCGTGTTCGAACTCGCGAGAAACACCACTAAGGTATCTATCGAAGCGTGTGAAGACTCGTGTTTTCGTCGGAAATCCGGATGTGAGTTAGGAAATTCAATCGTTTTATCAGGCCACGCGTCATCTGTTACCAAATTTTCGAATAGTGAATTGCTATTCTGATAGTTGAGTATTCGAATATATGTCCAGTCCTACTCATTAACCAGTAATTATTATTATGTGAATAAACTTACCTTTTATGTTTTATGTAAATTCTACCTTAAAGCGTAACTTGGCTGATAGTTAAGTTTCGCAAAAACGTTTGCAGTTCGCAGCAAATTTCTGGCTCGCTGCGGACTCATTCAAACGCTCCGCGGACTCATTTGAGACCGCGGACTCGGGTTGGGAAACACTGGTTTATATCATTATATGCATATTGTCCATATTTAATCAAATGCCTATTAGTCTTAGATTAGCTTTTATATAAATTTACAGTTTATACAATTCAAAGCCAAAGGTTGCCGACCCATGGTCCTATAGCATCCACCCTGTGGCAGCGTGATGACCAGGAATATTCTCGCTCATAATTATCCTCAGACCTGCGAACCCACGCAGTACATTTAGTACTTTTTCAAATCCCATCATATTTGCGGTCAAATATGGGCTTTCAACAAGAACAAAAAGACCGTTCGTTCCAGGCGTCGACTATATTCAAAAAAGGTCTCGGCTTTGAAACGAAAATGAGAAAAG